AGGGAGATAAGAAGGAAGTCAACAGAAAAGGAATAGTACGAGGTATGATTTGACTTTCTCCCCCCACCCCTAAAAATTAAAGTTTATAATTTAGAAGGTTAATAATGGATTGGTTGGATTCAGTACTGTGATTGTCTTGTTGTGATCGATGTGCCTTATTAGGGTTAATCAAATATCTTATACACACACTCCCTCTAATCTTTGTTGGAGAACACTTAAAACCCTTTCGTATATATTAAAAGAAGTTAATTTTTTCTCTTGATATCATAAAAAAGTAAAATACACTTTTATTTTTATTCTTGACTTTAAATAATAACGCAATTATCTTAAAGACCTTCACCCTAATTGAGAAGGGATAAAATTAAAAAAAAATAATTTAATTATTATAAAGTATCTTATATTTTAGACGAAAAATTACTTTTAAAAAGTATCTTATAAATAGAATCATATATATATATATATATATATATATTATACCTTCTGTGTGTTTTGTTTGGTCATGTGATTCCATAATCTTCTTTGTTCTTTGATGTAGCAATAAAGCTCCATTAATTACGTCCACGAGAACAATGATTGGTGGAAATTAATGAGCACAAGCATGCACCCACTCTCTCTTTCATTCATTCCTTCATCGTTTATTTATTTGACAATGTTTAAGTTCATCAAAATATAAAAGAAATTAAAGCTGTACTTATTGCAAAATACTTACCAATTATCAAGTGATCTAGACTCATGCCTTTTCATGAAATACCACTGCCTGTTGCCTTTTATACATACAAGTCATCTTCCATGAGAGTTTATGGTTTTATTTCAAAAATATAATTTTATTTCAAAAATATCCTTCTTGTATTTATTTTAGAGAGAGAGAGAGAGAGATAATACATTTTTTAAAAATATATGATATTTATTAAGTATTAATATGAAAACTAAAGAGAGTTTAAAAAAAATTATTTTTTTGGCCAATAAAAAAAAATTATTGATGCAACTAAACTTCTTTTTAAGTTCTAATAAGTTAATTAAAAAAACTTTATATTAAGTATTGAGTGAAAAACATAATGTACTAGTATATATTTTTTCTGATTGAATCAATTTTCATAATCTCTCAATCTTTGCACATTGGAGGGGCCTAATACCATGGAGGCGTAGTTGAGTGACACGTAGAGTAAAAAGGTCATCGATGTGTTTAATTGATAACAACATGAATTGATAAATTGGACTTTCTTTTTGGATTTTTTCCTATTTTGATATTTAAATTAGTTGGACTTTCCATTCTCGCTCATTGCATTGTGTTGCGTGGGAAGCATTAATGCTATATATTGTCTGCTTTTTGAATTAACGCGTGCCACGTCATAAAGTTCCTCAATTATGCATGCCTCCCAATCAGTTCATCTCAAATTCTGTGTGCGCGCTCACTAAGTTAATATGTAATTTAATTCTTAAATAAAATGTTTAAAAATAATTTGAATCTTAAACTTTTATAAAGTATTTTGAATCATAAATAATTAAAATTGAAATAATTTCACCTTCATTACTAAATTTGATCAAATGCTTGCTAGTTTTTTAAAAAATTAAAATTTAATGTGTGATTTTTACTAAATTTTACTGTCCCTCTCTTTCCTACCCTTATTTGAGAAAAATTTGACGTTAAGTCCTATTTTTAAAAAATTAATGAATGTTTGTTCAAATTTAATAGTAAGGGTGAAATTACTTCAACTTTAATTATTTAAAGTTTAAAATGTATCTTTTAAAAGTTCAGAATATAAGTCACCCCTAAACCAATAGTTAAAGTTCAAATTATATATTAATTTTTAATTGAAATATAATTTATGTTGAATAAAATAAACTAGAAAATTAATGTTTTAACAATGTGTTAAGAATAGCTAAAATTATCCTAACATTTTCCTAATTAGTGGCGAGACTTTAAGTGATGATTTTAATGATAATAATAAAGTGATTGGCTTATAGCTTGTAGAAGAGTTAACCTAAGAAAGTTAAACCAATAGATGAGGTAAGGTTGTAAAGAACTAATAATAGTTGGGTTGGGTGAAAATGGTTTTATTATTTTTTTTAATAAAGGTTGGGTGAAAATGTGTGAATATTCTTAATGCAAAGTCTAAAATTTAAATTTTTTAAATAATGAAAAACTACATTTAGAGAGTTTTATCTCTCTTACACTTAAATTTGACTTCATTGAGATTAATAATAATGTAGGCAAAAGAATGATAACTTTAATTTAAAGTACAATAATGTTTATTTATATATGGAGCCGCATTAGTTGACATTGTTAATTAGTAGTACTTTAATGCCTCAAAATACATTATCATAAATATTCTGAATTATATATATAGTAGCGATAGCTTATAGGTTTACAACAAGAGATTAATTCTTAGAGTACATTATGGTTTTGAGTTCGAAAGTTTTAAATGAAAAGGGGGTAAATTGTGAAATCTAATCCATTTAGGCTCATGAGTCATTAATCAATTAGCCAGGTAGTATTATTTGACATTAAATAAGAAAATATTTTTTTATTAAAGTTTCTAAGGAAATTAAAAGGATTTTTTTTACTAAAAATAAAAATATGAAATTAACCTCTAAATCTCTAGTAATAATAGTTTGTTCTTTCATTCTTTGACTATTTTCTATATCACAAAAGTCCATGCACTCTAGATTATATATCTTTGATTTTTTTTTTCTTGTAATTTATATAAACTTATAACTTTACATTTACATTGTCGATACAAATTTTTATGGAAAAATATATAAAATTCTCTAAAATTTAGTATTATTTTTTAAATAGATAAAAATTTCTTTCTGTAAAAAAAAAGGGAAGCCTGTATAATTTAAATAAAATTCAAGTAGTTAAACCATTTTTAATTAACTCCTTATTTTAGTTAACTTTTAAGAGAATGTATATACGAAGACTTTAAAAAGTTACAGTGAAAGCGTACCAGCAGATTGGAGTGAAAGTCAAAAGTGATGTGGTCCGTGCATTTTCTTTTTTAAAAAATTATATAATTTCAATGAAATAAAAAATCTTTATCATTTATTCTGAACAGGTTCTTCTAACACGAGTTTTTTTTTTTTTTTTTATGGTCAAATTCTAACACAAGAGTTTGATTCCACATTCCCTTCCTTACCTAATTCCCTCCACCATGATTATAAGAATAAATCAATACTATAAAATGGAGCGACGATGAATATGTAGCCAAAACCTTACTTATTAATTGAGTGATAAATCTTTAGACAAAAATGTTTATCTCGGTATCTCGAGTCTCGACACAACGTTAGATTTTTTTTTTTGGCCCCTTAAATAATTACGTCCACATATATTTTTTTTAAAAAAATTCATTATCATTCTTCATCTTCCGAGCTAGTTACCATTTCCTAATTCCACTATTTACTACTTGGATTCCACCCAACTTCTCTATTAAGAAGCTTGTCCCTTGTGCAATTAAAAAGTCAACAACTCATATGATACACACACACACATTATTATTTTTAATTTTTCCCAATTTTTTTGGCCTAAAATTTTCCCCAAATTTATTTTTGACTTTCTGTACTGTACAACAGTGTAGTGAAAAATCAAACTACTTTTTATTATTATTATTATTATTTGAATTTTGAGGAAATGTGGATAGAATGAAAATTGCAGCTAAAAACTAATTATAGAAAAATATATTTGTCATTCTACGAATGAAGTTAAGTCTAGTTAAAAAAAATTATTAGTCTATGATAAATTAAAATTCAAATATTTATTGGCAGAAACGTATACCTAATTATATTTAATATAATTGTCTTTAATTAAAAAAACACATGGGTGTATAAGGAAAAGCCATATATGGATGTGTAGAATAACATGAATAATCACATATGAACATTTTGCAATTGGAGCAATACAATATCAGGAAACTTGTGAAGTAGAATAGGAATCTTCCTTGCATGACGAGTGTGAGCCCATTTGAAGTAAGCATGGAATGGTGGAAATTCAATTTTTTCTCTAGAAAAAAGAAAAACTAATTACTAATCAATGTAATTGAAAAGAAAAACAAAACATGTGGACCCATACCAAAATAGGTTGTGCTGTTGAGATCAATATCTGCTTTGCATGGACCCACACACTAATAAATTTGCTTTCTTTTTCTTATAAAAGAAAAAGTAAGGATCTAATGTCACTTCATTGGAGAGCAGCGAATATAATTAAGAAGCTAAGTTCAAGCCAAAATATAATTAAATGTTCATAATTCATATGAATAATAATGAAAATTTTTAATATTACCTTTCTTAATAAAAAATTATCGCCTGTATTTTTCTATGTTATATATTGTTCATGCTTGAAGCCAAAGATTCATAAATATGAATCATGATTTCGAGAAAAATAAAATTAGTTCTTAAATATTAAGCTGTTATTAATACAAATAATATGCAATTAAATAGGATAGTTAGAGAATCTAATCAGTATTTAAATTAAACTAAAAAAGATTTCCACATCATCATTAACAGCCTGGATGCCTCTAATAAATCTCCCTCAACCCTTTATAAGAGCATTCAAAAGAGAACACTCTCAAAAACTTCTCTCTCTCTCACTCAATCATCCTTTGTTCTCTCTTCTATCTCAGGCGTGGAATTTGGCTTTCATTACAGTCTCTCTCTCTAGAAACCATCATCAATGTCCCATGTCTTCTTTTCCTTTCTTTCCCCTTCTTTCCTCTTAAAACCTTCCATTTTCTGAAATACCCATCCCAGACTCCTCTGTTTTATCAGAAGAGGCCAAATTCTTGTCCCTTCACATAATCATGCCTTCTTAATTCCATTAAACCTCTCTTTATCTATCTCGAACTCTTCTGACTCTACTTGATCTTTTGCAGTACAATTCGAAGTTTGAATCGGACAACAAAAGTCCAAGTAATTGAGAACCCTCGAAATCCCCTGTTTGTCTCTGTTCTCTGTCACCCACATACGGCCATACCATAGCTCCTTTTAAAAGCATTGAAATAGAACCAATGGACAGATGGGATAGATCCCAACGAGATCGCCAACAAAGGCATTACAGAGAGAACCCTTCTTTCTCTTCTACTCTTCTGGACGCCATTTATAGATCCATCGACGAAGGAGAAAGAGAGGAGAGACAAAACCAGCTTGTGCTTTACAGAGAAACCATGAAAAAGCAGAAACAGAGCAACTTCTTCGATGAGGAAGCTAAAGCACCGAGCTCTCGTCGATCTCAAAAGGTCGAAAACTGGATGGATGCAAGGGCGTTCGAGAAAGTTGAGGTTCGAAGAAATTCCATACATTCTAGCTCAAGCTCCACAGATTCAAGCTCAAATGGCGGCTTTTCTTCTTCAGAGTCATCATCAGAGCTCTTCAATGGCGTCCAGAGGCTGAAGCCAATTCGAACCAGTGCTGATCCTCCTCAAAAACCAACATTTGATTCTCTCAACGCATACAGAAACTACTCTGGCAATACCCAGAAGCCAAAGCAGGAAAATGGCTTTGAGAAGAAGACGAAATCAAAAGCTCTGAGAAGAATCCTATACGGAGACTTGAAGAAATCAAAGCAACCTATTTCGCCAGGTGCTAGACTCACCAGTTTTCTGAATTCTCTCTTCAATTCAGGTGGTGGAAATAACAATGCCAAAAAGAAACCAAAGGTGGTGTCGTCAAACACTCTGACGCAACCTTCAACCTGTTCTTCAGCATCTTCGTTTTCAAGGTCTTGCTTGAGCAAAACCCCATCATCATCAAGATCAGCAGCGAAGGCTACCAGGTCCGTGAGATTCTGCCCAGTGAGTGTCATAGTTGATGAAGATTGCAGGCCATGTGGACACAAGAATCTTTACGAAGGAGAAAAGGGTATTGAGAAATTCAGCCATGTCAGCAAGAACAGTAACAACGAGGAGCTGAGGTTCCATGTGATGCAGGAGAGTCGAAGAGTGGAGGAGTACGCGAGAGAGTTGTTGAGAAATTATCAGAAGAAGAAGAAGGACGTTGATGATGATGATGATGCGGCAAGCTGTTCAAGTTCTGATCTTTTTGAATTGGATAATCTTTCAGGGATCGGGAATATTGAAAGGTATAGAGAAGAATTGCCAGTGTATGAAACGACCCATTTCAATACCAATCGAGCCATTGCCAACAATGGCTTCATGCTGTAATCTTCACTGTTTTAAAAAAGTTACAGTTTGGGGGTGGGTTACATTAGAGAAATAAGATCTTTCTTTTGCTTACGCTAGTCATCAATCTTATTTTCTGTTAGACTTTCCTACCATATGTATGACACTTCTGTTATTAATATTAGGGAACAAGGTCTCTCTCTCATGTCTATCATATTTATGATTATTTCAACGGTGAGATGGCTTACAGAGTGAGCAAGGTAATTATAGCATACTAAATTGCCACCAACATGAGTTGGATTTAATAGAAAGAATTAATTTTTTGTAACACAAATGTTCGAATCAGGCTATAAAAAATGATTGATTATGTTTTGAGCATTGTTACTTAGAAGAATTCCTATGTACAATATATAAAAAAAAAGTAGCGGATTGCTAAATAAAATAGGGGGGGGGGAGAGAGAGAGAGAGAGAGAGAGAGAGAGAGAGAGGTTTTGCAAAATCTACCTGAGAAATTGATGAATATAAGAAAAGGCAACAAAAGAAAGAGGGGTTGAAGAAGATGAAGTTGAAAGGGAGGGCAGAATTTCTACATTCACTAATGGCAAGCCAAAGGAGGGCTTTTGCTTTCTCTCTCTTGAGTATGTGGGACCTCTCTTTTTGCTTCAATATTTATGTAACCCTATTCCTTTTTTATTTTCCTTCTTGTTTTGTTTATTTTTTTTTTTTTAAATCTGTTCTTCATGTACCACATATATATACTTGGGAGCGATAGTAAAAAAGGTTCCTATATTAATTTAATGTGGTTTTCCTTCTTTTAAATTAATATAAAAAGAAATGGATTATATATATATATATACACTAATATATTTTTATTATATTATTTTCTTTTTTATATACTATAGTTACTCTTGATTTTTTTTTAATTTTAAAAAGATAGTGCATAATGGAAGCAACAAAAGGAAGTAACTGTGTTTTTAATTAAGTAAAATTAAAGGACAGAACTATAAGGTCCTCTAAAGATGTGGACAAATGTTAAAGATCAATTCTTGGATTCTCTAAAATCTTTGATGTTAAATTCGGTTGGCTTATTATAAAAGCGAAAATAGCTTGTCTTTGAGTAATTTGATGGGATATTCCGTTTTTGTAAATATTACATATATACCGTTAAACTTAAATCATCTTAATCTTTATCTTAATCCCTTTTATTGATGCCCTTAATCAAACTCTTTTTTTTTTTTTGCTCATTGCTTGTCTCTTTTTTCTTCAGTGCAAGCCAAATTTCTTCTTTAATTTTTTTTTAACCTTTAAATAATGCTTCAAGTTCATCTTGAACATATGTTTTCCCTTTTTCATGCATTTTTGCTTTTGCCCTCTTCTTTAAAATTCAAAAGTCTAACAGCCTAGGGAATGCAAGTGTTCTAAACAATTTTTTTTGTTATAGATATTAAGAATCTAACTCACTTTATTTGCCCCTAAAGTACTTATTTAGAACATATAGGCTTTAGTTTTCATGACAAAAGACTACGAACTACATAGTACCTACAAGGAGGGGGGGAAAAGGACGAAAACCCCAACTTCATTGGGATTCATACTTTTTAAATTAAAAAAAAAGGAAAAAGAAAAATGATTCTTAAGGTCCATGAGTTATACAATTGAATGTTAAAGGTTTACAATTAATTTTTCTAAAAATTATAAAAATAATTTATATATTTTTTGCTTTATAAAATTACTAATTATACTTATTAAATATAACTTAATATTTTTTCGATGTTACAATGATGTTTTAGATTATTTGATATTACCTCATATTGGAAAAATTATTAGATTATAACTTTATGGAGTGTAAATGATAACTACAGTGTTATCATATACTTTACACGAATCTAAGATGAGCCCTATTAGATTAGTGTTTATAGTTTATAATAGTTAGCTTTTTTATTGCAGATTTTGTATTATATGTGTGATTGAGTGTGTCAAGAAGGATTAATGGTAAAAGAGCATGAACAATAACGCCGCCATGTATCTGATCATCAGAAAAGGAAAACCATCCAATAAAGAAAAGTTCTAACAACAAATACTATAGGAACACCACTGAATCATAACAGTATGAAATGCTCATTAATTAGTCATTAATTGAATATTTTTATTAAAGGAAAAATAACGAACCGTTCGAAGCAGCCTATAACTTGGAATATTAGAGGATACAGGTAAAAGAAAAGAAAAGAAAAGGCTATAAGCTTGCTATGCTCCAAAAGTTTCATAGGGCAAACAGAGAAAGAGAATGATGAAATAACAAAACTTTAAGGAATCGATTGGCGGACAATCCAACCGAAAAATTATATGCTTAATTAAGCCAACTGTTTAATTGAACTAACTAGTATAATTAATATTTGTTTCTAAAAATACCCCTTCTAAAGTTTGTTACTGTTTTTACATGCATTATGGTTGGTGAAGTGGGGGAGGAGCATCACAATAATGAGAAATTTTAATTTAGGTAGCATTGTAAAAAAAATAATTAACCAATCAAACTTTTTAAAATTTAAGAATTAAATAATTATGTTTAATCATTACATCATTAGATTAAAAAAATTAGCTGTAACGCACTGACGGTACTTATCCATATTCATAATTCCTCCAAAATTCTAGTGATAATAGCCTCTCTTTTTTTTTCCTGATGTCCATGGCATTGGATTTTCTGCATTTTAAGGGCTTACCTATTACGTACCATTGAAACAATGCCAATTTTCAAATTATATATATGGTATAGTAATAATACTATCTTATTTTTCATAGATTATACTATATGATATTTTTTAATCTTGTTTATACTAATTATTACTATTATATCCCGATAAATTTTGCCAGTTTCGAATGAGAAGCCATGATATAATTGGGAATACTGTTAAATAAACGAATGAATAGATAATAGTAATCCTGTTAAGTAGGCCTACGAGCACAGAGAAAAACATTTACTTTATTGATGGATTTGACCCAATTAATTAATTAACACTTTTCACAATCAATGTCTTTGTTGGCTTTTGAAATCCTCTGTTTTGAAATTTGTTTTATGCATCGAACAACCATATTGTCGTACACAATAATATTAATTCATGATTTAAAAGGCTTGTGCCGTCAAACAGTGCAAGCAAACATACTAGCCGTTGGCCGTGTAACTTCCCCATCATGAGGCAACCAAACATGTACGTACACAAGATTATTCAATCAAATAAAAATTATTTATTAATATCAGATATTAAATCTATATTAAATTGATAGTGAGACTATTTTTATATCGAGTCCATATAAATAACAAGTTTAGTGTTAGTCTTATAGGTGTGAAACCACATATAGTTTTCCTGGCTATCTGAAGGAAATTCAATTACGCTAAGGCTTCGCTTTGTCAAGTGTATTAGCTACTCCTAAATGAATTAGAAATCTGTGAATTTCATGAAGTTTATTGTTTCTTTAGAGAGAGAACATTTTATGTTTTATAAAAATAATAAAATGAATAAAAATATTTAAAAAAGGGAAAGCTTCACATAAATTCATGAATTTCAATTTCAGAGAATTTAAGTTCAATGACCACTAATCTATCATTAATCATATCGCGGTGTTCGATTAGCATATGTGAGTATAGTATGTCGTTTTATTTTGGAAAACTTCTATTTCAACTTGTATAGTATGTCGTTTTACTTTAATCCATTCCAAATTAATTTAAGAAGTGTGAATTTTATCGGTGATTTTGAAAATCACTATTAAAAGATGTTACCGAAAATCAATTGCTAAATGCATTAATTACATGCAGCTGTCTAGATGTTAATTAACTAAGTCCTGATCAATAATTGGCAGCTACTTTTAATGAATTGGGAAAAATACAAAGAACTTAATTTTAGGGTTGTTATATAACAGACATACAGTGGGCTGTCAACTTTGTTTTGTGGTGCAAATTTAAAATAGTTTATGAAGCCACATTCTTTCCGAATCAACAATGGCGTGCGTGCATTATTATATATTCTGCTCTTGTAATAAGGCAATATAATGGAACCACGTCTCCTTTTCTATTATATTCATTATTATAAGGTATTCGATTTGTGCATAGTTGGCTATCACATATTTGTCATCTAGTACGCATGTATTCAACTCCTGTCCTCTTGGCCAAAAAAAAAAAAAAAAACTCCTGTCCTCCAATATTTGAATAATCAAATCACAATATTTTTTTCTGCCAAATTTGATAGTGCTCGTCCAAAAGATGTGGATAGTTGTTAATATCTGTGCCTTACTTTTCTCTTCTGTCATTCCTTGTACATTAAAAGCACATGTGTAGTTTAAAAATACTTCAAGAAAGATCTTAGTTTCTATTGTTGATAGAGATATCTCTTCTCTACACTCACACTCCTCTGTCTTATTAGGTTATTATACGTTGGGTAACTTACAGAAGAATTCTGTGCTTCTTAATATAGGACACAGAAGTGGTTATTTCTGATCATTTTTTAATTTTACACTATCATAAATTTAATTGTGCATATTATATATTGTATGCCTCTTTCTTCTTGTTTTTAATAGGGAGAATCACACTGCAAGCCCTAAAAAGACAAAAAATTACAGTATGAACCCAAAAAATTCTTAAAATGCACTGTAAACTCAAGGGCCTTTGGTATAATTTTTCTTGAGAGTAAAAGTACAATTTTTCCTTTATGTAATTTAAAAACTCAAAACTTATGCCAAACCTTCATCCACAAAGCATATCATAATATTCATAAATTCTCAGCATGATATTCATAAATTCTCAATATAATGTTCATATGTATCAAGTTGATATATAGGTTAATTAAAACATAAGTCACACAAATCATGTATAGCACAGTGCATATGGATGTATGAGACAATGTTCATGAATTTTCAATACAATTAAAATAGTCACACAAAGTATGTACAATACAATATTTATGGCTGTACAACATGATGTTCATATATTCTCAACACAATGTCCATAAGTATCTAGTTGATATATAGGTTAATTAAAACACAAGTCACACAGAGCA